CCTCTGACTCAACTTGAAATTTGGTTTGGAAAAATGTGCAAAAGTTAATATTGTCAGTGGAAAGTTAAAACAAAAGGAAAATATAGAAGACTCTGAAGAAGAACTTATTAAAGTACTGGACCCTGAATCAACATACAAATATCTGGGGATTGAAGAAAATTTTGGGGTAGCCAACAAGGAAATTAAACCGCGATTAAAGAAAGAATATTTTAAAAGATTGAGGCTTATATTACAGTCGGAACTGAATGGCACAAGTGGTTAAACTCCATTGGCACATTAGCTGTTCCAGTAATAGAATACAGTTTTGGCCTTGTAATTATATATATATATATATATATATATATATTGTTATGATCCCGTACTCAATGTTCACATTTTTCAATTTTTTTATAAACAAAAGACTAACGATGAACTCAAATTGTTCTTCTTTAGAAGCGAAGCTTCTAGAAACTCTGTCTTTTGTTTTATTTGCAAGTATTTGCTCGTTTAGATTGTTGGACATTCGAAACAATTGACTAATGAAAAACCGAGGTTATAAAGGGAAGCTTCATAGCTTTGCACGCGTTCTTTCGATACTTGTTTGTTATATTGAATTCTTATCCGTTTCTTTAATTTTAGTTTTGGTTGAGTGATAGTTTCTAAGTGTTTGTTCGCGAGTTAAAATAACCTTTACTTTTATTTTGTGAAAAAGTGTATGCTAAGCAATTAACACGTCATAAGAAATAAACTGTAAATTAATTTTAATATTAATTTGCTACTTATATATATATATATATATATATATATATATATATATATATATATATATATATATATATATATATATATATATATATAAAGTTACGGTATTAAGAAGAAAAAGAAAAAAAAGAAAAGTTCTATTTTTTTTGTATGTAATGTTTATTTTTATTTTTTTATTTTTGTTTTTGTTATTTAACGTTATGTAATTGTAATATTAACTGTTAACGCTGTTTTTTTTTATTGTATTCTCACTTTTATTATTTGTATGTTAACTTGATGAATAATATATATATATAATATAACAAATTATTTAACGAAAATATTCATGTATTGGCTACTTTAAAAGCTTCCATATTTTTATAAGTTCCACGTTAAAGTGAAATACATTTTTCTAATGACACTTTATTTACCATTGATATAATTAAGTTTAAATTGATGTCTATGGCTGTTTACATATATTACTAATATTTTTACTATTTCCCATTGTGAGTTATTTTTCCTGTATTTATTTCAAATAAAAATCGTAAAATTTGTTTTTAAAAAAATTACAAAATGCACGGGAGAGTCAAAATAAGAACGACAGAAGAACAAAAAGAAATCGCAAGGCAAGAGAAACAGAAAAAGGCAATAGAATTTAAAAAATAATGAATCAAATATTCATTAAAAAATTCATTCAGAAAAACGTTCTTCGAAGAAGGTTTAAATCTCACTGGTAATTTATTAACAGGAAATCCGGATATAATAACATTATGGAATTATAGAAGAGAAATATTTTTGTCGTTGAGAAACGACGAGGACTTGGAGAGTTATCTAAAACTATTGGAAAAAGATTTGCAATTGACAGAACAGTGCCTGAGAGTAAAATCCAGATAGTTAGGCATAGGTTAGATATAGGTTAGAGAGTCCAAAATCGTATGATACTTGGCATCATGGAATATGAATATTGGACAATTTACCCAAACCTGATAGGAACAAAGAATTAAACCTTTGCACAAAATATCTTCAATTAGACGAAAGAAATTTTCACTGTTGGGATTATCGTAGGATAGTCGCTGAAAGATCAAATGTTTCTCATTTATCTGAATATGAATTCACTCTAACATGAATACTGTATTAAATTATGTATGTATATATATACATGTGTAATTATGGGAGGCAAGACCGAAAGTGATACCTCGGGAATGCCTCCCACATGGTTGAGGGGAGTATCCCAATTGGGTGGAGTGGATCTCTGCAACAGCCCATGCGAGATCTGATGATTTCGGCTGTGAGAGAAGGGTTGAGGTTGAGGCTGAAATGGGAGTCATACTCCTGCGACTGCCCCTACTCCCCAGGAAAAAGTGCAGCAAAGCACATCCAGGAGTTTTAGTTGGGTAGTGACTTCGTCTGAGTCCCCCAACACTCTTCCTGCTACCGGGTGGGGAGAGGTTAGTGTGAAATGCTTCATTTCTCCTGGGTTAACAAAAAAAAATTTAAAACATATAATAATAATAATAATAATAATTTTTTTTTTTTTTATTAGAATCTATAAAATTTATAGCAATTAAAAATATTATTTTTTGTGTCAATAATAATAATAATAATAATAATTATTCTGGATGTCTCTAATTCCTCTGTCCAGACAGCTTAATATCAAGGATCAAGGACATGAGTTGGTACCGAGAGGCAGGAAAATCACCCATATGCTGTAGATGGATGACTTAAAAATTTATGCAAAAAATGAAGAGGAGTTAAATAAAATGCTTAAGACGATACAAACTTTTTCCTCCAACATCAACATGAAATTTGGTTTGGAAAAATGTGCACAAGTTAATATTGTCGGAGGAAAGTTAAAATGGAAGGAAAATATAGAAGACTCAGAAGAAGAACTTATTAAAGAATTGGACCCTGGATCAACATACAAATATCTGGGGATTGAAGAAAATTTTGGGGTAGCCAACAAGGAAATTAAATCTTGATTGAAGAAAGAATATTTTAAAAGATTGAGGCTTATATTACAGTCGGAACTGTGTGGAAGAAATAAGTTACCATAACACCATCAGCACATTAGCAGTTCCAGTAATAGAATACAGTTTTGGCCTTGTCGAATGAACAAAAGGAGAAATCATGCACCTGGACCGAAGAACAAGGAAAATACTAACTATGAATGGTGCATTACATCCAAAAGCTGATATGGATAGATTGTACGTCAGCAGGAAAGATGGAGGAAGACGATTATGACAAATAGAAGCGCATACCAGAATGCCATAATTGGAAAAGGGAAAATACATAGAATCCCATCAAGAGGACCCTATCTTAGCCCAAGTTATACATATATTACAATAAAAATTACAAAAAAAGGAGTACTGAAAAGGGCAAAACAAATCGTCCAAGAAAATAAAGAAAACGAGATAATGGAAGAAGGGCAACTTTCAACTTATGAAAGCAAAGCCCAATCTCAGATGAAATTATGTCAATATCTCCATTGGAGTATATGCCGAGAATATGGAATGGATGGATTACCCAAGGAGTGGTACAACCACATTCCAAGCCTGATTACGACAGTAGGTCCATGCAGAGTTCTGTATGATCAACAAATCCACACTGACAGAACTGTGCCAGCTAACAAACCGGATATCATTCTCAGACATAATGTGGAAAAATGGTGTAAGTTAATTGAAGTATTCGAAGAACCGAAGAGGAGAAAAACACCACAGCCAAAGAAGCAGACAAAAGGCTGAAATATAGAAATTTGGAAGATGTAACGTTCACAGGACATTAGGGAATCAGAAGAACTTCTCCCGTTGTGTCTTGCTTCCTTTTATATGTGGAACTCATTGTTATTATTATGTTTCTATGAAACGAATAACTATGGTTGTAAACAAATAGAAGAATAAGTTTCTAGAAGCTTCTTTTTCATAATAAACACTTGGTAACCATAGTTTTAATGTTATTATTTATAAATAAAATAAAATTATGAACATTTGCTCACGTGATCACAACAATATATATTCTTAGTCTTATTAAATATTTACAAAAAATAATTTTGCTTTAAAGTATAGTTATTTTATAATTTAAATTTTATTCCTTTTAATACATAAGTTAAACATGAAAAATATGTGATTTTTTTTTCTGACCAATCACGAGTAAGAATGGCGAGCGCCATTATTTTCTCATTATGTATACAAAGCACGCCATTGGTTAAAAATTGTATTGAAAATTGCATATACTCTAAATGCAAGGCGTTGAAGCGAAACGAAACTATCGAAAAATTGAGACCTCCTAAATATTATGTTTTACTGATACTCGGAACCAATTTTTCACTCATTTTTCTTGATTTTTTTTCGTTCGCCTTACTTTTGTGAGTTATGCAATTTGTCGTGTTCGCGCGTATTGCCAGTTGCATAACCAAAATTTTTAAGGATTTTTGAATTTTTTCGACTTTTTCCGTCCGCCTTACTTTTTTGAGTTATGCAATTTGTTGGGTTTCGCGTAATGCCAGTTGCATAACCCAAATTTGTATAAAAATTTCTTTTAAGTTTTTCTTTTATGGGAATAAATGAATGATATAACCAAACATGCATGGTGGGAAAAAAAAAAACAAATTTTATTTTTTTTTAAAATAATATATTTGAGAGAATAAATACATATATTACTATATTATTATTATTATTATTATTATTATTATTATTATTATTATTATTATTATTATTATTATTATTATTATTATGTTCACCATTAAACACGACAAGGCTCTTATTTGTCGGGGTTTTTAAGCATTTATCCCAGGTTTCTACCCTGATTCCTTAGGAAAAAATACTCGAATTTCGGTGGTGCTACTTATAATAAGATAGCACCACATCAATTCTTGAAGGTCTTCCTGAGTCCATCTTATTCGATGGGAACGATTTGTCTCCTGAACTGGGCTCCAGTGACTAACATCTTTGGAGTGGCCAGGGTCAGAAGCAGTGAAATTCACGTTCTCGTCGAGCTGCCTCAGGTCGACAGTAGAACAAGATTTGTTTTTTGGTTCTTACTTTGTCTTGTTCACATTTTTGCTCTTTAAGCCAACGGCACGTGGCGTTCCCAAACGGTCACCCATCCAAGTACACACCACGCCCAATGCTGCCTAACTTCGGTGATCGTACGGGAACCGGTGTGACCAGCACGGTATGGCCGTTGACTTATTATTATTATTATTATTTTCACCATTAAACACGACAAGGGTCTTATTTGTCGGGGTTTTTAAGTATTTATCCCAGGTTTCTACCCGATTCCTTATGTCATTTGTTGTTCCAGCGGATCAACTGGATATCCAAAAGGTGTCGCATTATCCCATCATTCTCTTTTGTATAACGTGCAAACTTTAAAGCAAGTATTCCATCATCCATCCATCCATTCACTTCCCTCCGTTTTTTGTCTTTTTCTTTAAATTTTTCTTTTCTTTTTCTTCTCCAGGAAATTCGGATCACAATTTTTATCAAAAAAATTATTATTCACATCTCCGTTATTTTGGATATCAAATTTCATATTAACGATAATGTCTTGCATTTTTGGACAAACTAGAATAGTTCCAAAATCTACAAATACCATACATTATTTGGAATGCATTGAAAAATATCAGGTTCGTTTTTTCCAGTTTATACAGTTAAAAAAATAAAATTTTATTTACTTTTTCTTCGTTCCAGCCTGAATTCACGGCTTTTTCACCGTCTTCCCTATTATTTTTAGTAGATCATCCAGATTTTGATAAATTCAATTTGAAAAGTTTAAAATTGATTTTTGTCGGTGGTTCTCTTTTGGAATCGAATTTACTTGATAAAAATTAAGGTATTTTCGATTTGCATCGTCATCTCATCCTGAAACGAATAAATTTTAATTATTTTAAATATGATTTTAGTCAAAGTGGAAAAATGTACACATACTCCAGGGTTACGGTATGACAGAATTTGGTGGAGGGATCACAAGTCCAAATTTTGGAAACGCTACGTCTTCCGTTGGAAAAGTTTTACCCAACACTTCAATAAAAGTAATTCTGTGAAACATTTCCCGTTTCCTCTTGATCATAAACTCACAATTTGGAAAACCTCTTTCAGATTGTGGATCCATCATCGGGTAAAATTCTCGGTCCGAATGAAATCGGAGAATGTAGAGTTAAAGCCGACAGAGTTATGATTGGATACTACAACAATGAAAAAGCAACCAAAGAATCTTTTGACGATGACGGTTGGTTTAAAACTGGAGATTTGATGTATTACGATGATAATAAATTGTTATACGTTGTCGGAAGAATCAAAGAAACCGTTAAATATCAAAATTATCAAGTAATGAAAAACTTCTTCTTTTGCCTCTCTCTCCTGAAAAAAAAAGAAATTAATATTATTATTATTATTTCAGATTTCTTTAGCGGAAATAGAAAATTTTATAATATCTTTACCGGGTGTAAAAGATGCTGCGATAGTACCCATTCCTCCAATGGACCAAATCATCATTTAAAAGCGGTTGTTGTTAAAAGTTCAGGTTCTAATATATCCCAAAATGACGTCATTGAAGCTGTAAAAAGTAAATGTTTTTTATTCAGTCATAATCTGTTGAGCGGTGTCACGATGATAATAATATTAATATTGTTTTCCAGATAATTTTTCTGAAATCAATAAAAAATTATTAAACTGTTTAATAAGATTTATTAAAAAAAAATTATTTTAATATCATGCGACATTAAACGATTTATACTTATGTTTATAACACAAAAATTTTTTTTGTTTTCGGGAGAAAATCTTGTGATACTGCAAGATTCGCGAGATTTTCTTAAGAGTTTTAAAAATTAAACTTTAATCACATATCATTCGGTTATATAAAGCTCTCTAAAAAATTCCTCAAACACTTAAAACATTTTTTACAATGAAGGACTCAAAAATTGAAAAATGGCCTCCATTCAAAAATACGTTCAACATCGCATTTCTAAGCCATACAATCACGTGTTCTGCAACTTATATTTTATTATCATTTTTTTCAACGTCGGATGATTTTTCAGGTGTCGAGAGCGAAGTCAAATTTTTTTTATTTGAGTCGATGATTCAATACTTAAAGTTCCTTCATCTTTATGCTCGATGATTGGCTCTAACTCGTGGCTCAACGATCTTCTTCCTAAGTCTACATCATCGGAACATGGTGAAACATGAGCATGAGATACAGCTGGCACGGGTATTGCGGCACTTGGCATCGTGGGATCTGGAGTTATGAGTCCAAGTTCTTCTTTTTCTGACGAAGAACTCGATTCGTCAACAAGATTACAACTGTATATAATTAAAAATTAAAAAATAATCGGGTTCTTTTACCACTGATGCCACTTTCACCGACGGTACAAAAGCAGTCGAATTTTCCGGTGCGAAAATATGAGGTACCGGTGAGCCATTTTGTACGATAACTTTAGCAGAATGAGTTTCTCCCGTTAACACATGACTGGGAGATATTTCTTTTCTGAAAAAAAATTTTATTGAGTTAATAAAATGGTTGCTTTGATACCCGCATATTTTTTTTTTAGGTATTTAGTAAGTCAAAGCTCACATTGACAGTATAAAAAGATACCTCTTCCTTGGAGCTGCGTTTTTGGTGAAAAATTTTACTCAGAAGATTAAGAACGAAACTTTTTCCTTTACTGGACATGATAGACGGCTCCGTTCCAGAATTTTTTTCTCTGCTGGAACGAAGTGAGAGTCTTTGAATGTTTCTCCAAGGGCATATTCCCAGCTTGATGCGAAGGAACTTCAACTTCTTCAGCGGAATGTTGAGGTGGACCTGTATGGTACTGTTTAGCGGCTGCTGTATAAGGTAACTTTACTGGAAAAACTTCATCCCAATATTGATCTTTTAACATTTCCAGATTCTCCTGATGCATTTCATCAACTATGACGTAGGATATCTGTAAAAAAAAAATTTTTTTAAAAAACAAATTTATATCTAAAACCACGTTTTTCGTGGAAGGCTAAGAAATTAAAAAATTATTTTTTTCGTTTTAACAAAAATTTATTTATTATTATTATTATTATAATTAAAAATTTTTTCGTTTGGTTCACCAGAGACTTAAATTATTTTGTTTATGCGATTGTGAAATTCCAAATTGTACGTGTTTGGTTGTTGCGTTTGTTGTCGCGTTTGTTGTTGTTCCGATGAGTGATGGTGATGGTATTATTACACCACTTTGTTTTCTTGTCATTTGATAAGGTGACGACGACGACGATATGATACAATCGTTTGTTATCATTGTCGATGGTGGTTCGGTTGCCGTCGTCGTTTCGTGATAGGTTCCAGGTTTTCTCGTGCTCAGGCAACTCGTAGCCGCCGGCTGAGGTACGTTCGATATCGGATACTGGAAACCGATTGAAAATAATCAGTTTTTACTGGAAAACAATTCAAATTATTATAATAATTTCTTTCGTTTGTTTCGTTTGTTTGTTTGTTTGTTTGTTTGTTGTTGTTGTTTAAACTTACCCTTAGTATATCATCTTCTGCTCTTCCTCTTCCCGCTTTATATTCTTGATATTGCGAAACGACGCATAAAAAAGCGTAAACCTTTAAATAAATAAATAAATCAAAAATTAAAGATGGCGGCGTGGGAACTCGGAGAGGAGGAGGAGGAGGCAAAGGGAGGTGTGCGCGTGCGCGCGTGGAAAATTCACAAAAAGAACATTCTAGAATTTTCCAAACAAAAAAAAAAAAACGAATTCAAAACTCACCGTTAACATGAGTAGAAAAAAATCTAACGTGAAAAGTATGAAATGTATCGGATTGAGTCGTCTCTGTAATTTAACAAAAAAAAAAAAAAAATTTTTTTAACGTGTCTTTAGACAAAAAATGGCGCCAAAATTAAAATTTTCTGTTTTCTCTCTCTCTCTGCTCAAAATTTTTATTTATAATAAATTTAAATGTATTTTTTATACCCCGCGTTCGGGAAAGATGAAAAAAAAAAGAAAAAAAAAACCGGAAACGGAAATGATTGCTAAATGCACGAAAACTTTTATTAATTTTATAGCAAGCTATAATACATATATAAATCTAATGAAGAAAAGTTTTGTCGTTAATTTTTTACGATTCATTAAAATTTTTTTGTTGAGTATAAAATTTTCTATAAAATCGATTTCACGTAATTTCGTATCTATCATCTTCTGCTTCGTTCTGTAAACATTTTTTTAAAAATTTTATGCATACCTTGACCTTTGACATGAATCAACGAGAGAGAATAATAATAATAATAAATGACTACTTACGGAAGCTAATACGACGAGGTAAAAACTATGTGACACGTCTATGACAGTTTTTAAAAAAACCGTTACAATCCAGGGTATTAAAAATATCCTGTTGTCCTGTCGGGGAAAAAAAAAAAATTAAAAATTAAATACAATTTTTTTTCTGACAATGTTATCTAATTCCACGTCAAAAAAAAAAAAAACTTTACGGGTTAACAGGACGATCGGTTGCCGTCGTGAGCGTCCAAGAACGGAAGATTCGAATTAATAATTTTTTTTTTTTATGCCATTTGCTAAGTATTATATCGAACAACCGGAAATCGATTCGTCGTCCATTTTAATTGTTTACCGATCCTTTCGATTGGAAAACACTTAAACATTCGTCATCACTTTGAATTCAGATTCAGTTTTTAATAAGTGATTCCATTTTTGTAATTATTTTGCGACGTTCGTTACGGAGATTGATGACGTATTAAAACCGTTCATTTTACCCTCCTTCCCCCCATGTATGACTAAATATTCGTAATTATGCTTGGTTCGTATATTTGTCGGCCATATTGTTTTTTATTTTCACGTCGTTATCAACGTAATAATTTGAAAGTTTTTTTTTTTTTTTTTTTTTTTACTTTTCCTTCGTTAAATTTTTTTTTCTTTTTTCTTTTCGCCGAATAATTTTCTCTTGTAATTTAAAATAAAAAAAAAATTTTTTTTTCTGGGGGAGGGGGAGGGGGAGGAGGGAAAGGGAATTTTCTCGATCGCGAGAAAATTTTTTTTTTTGACGACACGGAAAACCTTTCAAATATTTTAATTTTAACAAACTTCCTTTAGGGGTATAAAAAAAAAAAAGGAAAACTTTTTATAAAAATAATAATAATAATAAAATAATTTAGAGATGAAATCGAAAAATAAAAAAGGAAAAATTTACCTTAATTAACCCGTAAATGAGAAGAGCAGAAGATAAAAGACCACAACAGCATCCGACCAGCAGAAGAATATTATACACCATCGTGGCTGCGTCAACAGAAAAAAAAAAAAAATTAATTCAATATTCATCATTATTATTATTTATTTATTTTTTCACTTTAGTTTCGTCGACCCTTTGACCTTTTATTTTATTTTTTTTCGAATTATTATTATTATTTTATTATTTTTTTTTTAAAAGAAAATTTATTTAAATAATCGAAAAAATTTTTTAAATGGCGCCAAAAAAGGCGACAAAAATATAAATTTAATAAATCAATGAATAACATTTAAAAAAAAAATTTCCCGGGACTTTTTGGCGGCAAATTTTTTTTTTTAACGTTTCTCTCCCCCTCCCCGTTTTCCCCCCCTACTCTCTTCCCAGGTTTTCCCTTCATTTTTATTTTATTTTAAATTTACACGCTTTCACGAGGGAAAAACAAAAAAAAAAAAAAAACAAAAATTTTCCCCGCTCGCTTTTATTTATTTTTTTTAAATTTCCCGCCAATTTTCCAAATGAAAAATTTTTATTTTCAACAAAAGATGGCTCTGATTTAATTAAAATGAGTAAACGAGTAGTTAAGTTAAACACTTACTCGGTGATATAGTATCCGGTTCTAAAAGTGTCGTTCCTTTCGGTTGAGTCGCGTTACCGAAAAAATAATGTCTTTCCTCATGGACGAATATCGAAGTTATTATTATAGCTATGGAGTCGTAAACCTGAAATTAATAAATAAATAAATAAACGAAAAAACAAGAAGACAGTGGAAATTTATTAAATAAATAATAAAAATAATAATTAAACGTTTTCATGAGTCGTTTATTAAATTTTTCATAAGCATATATATTAACATCAAATAAGTTTCAATGAAAGTTTTGAATGTGACGTCACGCGTGTGACGTAGGTTAATAAACAAACAAACAAACAAACACGCACAAGTATCGTATTTACATTTAACAACCATCAATGGGGTAGAAAAAATTGTAAAATCTTTCATCTGTTTGTTTATATTTTCACCACCGCTTTTAAAAAAAAAAAATTGTGTGTGACGTAAAAAACATTTAACGGTTTTTTATGAAGCTTTCAGTTGTTTCCACCCTTCCTCCCCTCTCCTGCCCCATCTCCTTTTTCCGATTCGCATCTGATACTTTTTTTTTTCAACTTTTACTTTTAATTAAAATATTTAAATCATAAAAAAAAAAAAATTTTCTCCGATGAAAAAGAGAAAAAAGAAAAGAAAAGAAAATGGAAAAGTTTTCTTTTTCCGATTGACCTATTAAATATAAAAAAAAAATGAATGAAGGGAACGTTTAAACACACACACACACGCACTGGGCGTATTGCATATTAATAATTAAACGAACGGAAAATTATTATTATTATTATTATTATCATCATTACTTTCTTTTCTGACGAAAAAAAAAAAAAGTTTTTTTTGCGATTATTATCATTATTATTCTTTGTTTGTTAATTAATTTTCTTTTTTTACTTTCTCGAATCATTTTCTGAGATAAAAAAAAAAACAAAATGGCGGAATATTGAAATTTTCAATAAATAACGATTAAAAAATAAATAAAAAGATAAAAACTTTTTTAAAAAAAAATTAATATTTAATTAAACAAAGAAAGTGAGGGCGGGGGGGGGGAAATTGAACCGTAACGGTCGTCTTTTTCAAATTTTTTTTTCTTTTCTTTTTTTTTCACTTCTCCTCCCGATTTGTGACGTCATGAAAAAAAATATGGCGGTTAAATCGTTGTTGTCGTTGTGTTTATTCGTGACGGTTCTTTTTAAAAAACGTTTGTCGTTTTTCCATTTGAGGATTTAACTTTTTTTTATTTATTTAACAACCGTCATACGTCGTCGTCGTCACATTCTGTCGACATTTTTCCCTTTTAAACAAATTTTGACGTTATAAACCCGGAAATGATTTTTTTTTCCCTTTTTAAATCGATTCGATTCCCTATTTTAGGGCGTTAATGTTTTATTATTATTATTATTATTATTATTATTATTATTATTATTATTATTATTGGTTATTTCTATCGGTTAAAAAACATTTTTACCACATTTATTACAACTTTTTTTTTTTTTTTTTTTAAATGACTGACCTAATTTTCTAGAATTTTCTATATATATATTTTTCTCTCTCTTTTCCCTTATCGTTTTTCTATATATTTCGTTTCGAAAGAAATAAAATTTATTTGACCTTTGACATTATTTATTAAGTTTTTTAAAAAACTTTTTCACTTAAAGAAAATTCATCGATGATAAACGATAAAAGGCGAGACTGACTGATAATTAACGGCTTACGCAGATGGTGTGTGGTGCACCGATTAGTGGTGATGATGATGATGATGATTATGCTGTTGTTGTTGAGGATGATGATGATGATGATGATGCTGCTGTCGCTGTTGTTCTTGATGATGATGATAATGTTCATGAGATGATGTTGATGACGCTGATGATGATGATGATGTAGATGTTGATGATGGTGATGGTGACGATAGTTATGATGATGATGCTGTTGTTGTTGAGGAGAATGATAATGATGATGATGATGATGATGATTATGACGATGATAATGTTGATGATAATGATGACGTCGAAAAAACGATTTTAATTTTATCATTAAAAAAAAATTTTGAAAAGTTTTAAAATAGAATATAAAGAAAAAAATGTCGACTGTTAACGTTTCCGGTTCTGTTCAATAATTACACGTATTATTATTATTCCAGTAGAATTTTTTATTTTTCTCCCCTTCCCTCCCTTCTCCTCCTCTCTCTCTCTCCCTTTTTCCCAAAAAAAAAAAATGTTGAAAATTTGAAGGGTTTTTTTTTTTTTTTAGTTTTTGTGTTTAAACGAAACCGACAGTAAAAAAAAAAAAAAAAAAAATATTCAAGTGGCGGTTGGTTAATGGCGGTTGTTATTAGTCTGAAGTTGACAGAAACTATGGTTGACGACGTTATTTGAATTTTTTTTTTTTTTTTATAGTCACGTTCATAAAATCCTTTTTTTTTTTTTTTTTTTTTTTTGAAAATATAATAAAATGAGACCAAAGGATGTCGCGAAAAGGTTTTTTTCCTTTTTTCCTTTTTTGGTATTTGAAACAAATAAAACTAAAATGTTTCCTTTTTTTTGAATAAAAAATCAGAAAAGAAAACAAAAAAAAATAATAATGACGGGGGAACCTTTTTTATAAAAAAAAAAAAAAAAACTATTGAAAATTTGGCGTTAATTTTTGTTAATAAAAGAGCGAGAGAGAGAGAGAGAGAGAGAGAGAGAGAGAAACACAGAGAGAGAGAGAAATAGAGAGATGGTGCGACCGTTAAAAGCAAAATAAAAAAAATTATAATAAATATATCGTGTAAAGAATATAAAATTTTTTTTTTTATTTTTATTTATTTTCCTTTTCGGCCGCCATTTTGTTTTTTTTTTTCTTTACGTAGGTTCAAAAATAAATTTTTTTTTTTTTTTTTTTTTTACTGTTAAAATAAATAAATAAATAAAATTCTCTAAAAAAAATTTTTTTTTTTATCGGATCGTTTTTATTTTTATTACTCTTTTGTAACCGTTAATTCAAAAAACGCGCACACGCACACAACGTGGAATTAGATTTTTTTCTCCAACATTATAAGAAAAAAGAAAAGAAAAAAAACAGATTTCTTTCTTTTTTTTTTTTTTTCTATTTCCACGAAACAATTTTCACCATGACTTGTTTATATTGAAATAATAATAATAATAATAATAATAATAATAAATTGATATACTCGCGAACGACCTATCGAATTACGCTATCGAAACAAAATGATGATGATGATGATAATAATAATATTTTTCCTTTTTATTTATCAATCGTTTGTCATATCCGGAAATAAAAATGGGGAGAATG